GCTAGCCCAAGTAAGAATTGTATTAAAACCGTACTCATATATACATAACTACTTGCTTACAAGAAAAGGACACTATTAGCTAAAATGTGAAAAATCATTGTTGATCTGTGTTTAATGTGTTAAGGGATTCATCCATATCTGGCCATATCTGGCAAAAAAAAAAAAGAAAACTAAAAACTTTGAGACTAATTATCTGTCAAAAAGCATTGAATGAAAATTAAAAAAANTTTATAATCATATTTTCAATGTTTGATTTTAAATCGGCCACAAACTTCCAAGTTTTAACTTTTTATCACGAAAATTAATTACTTTATTATAATCCAAAAACAAATTGCTAGCCCAAGTAAGAATTGTATTAAAACCGTACTCATATATACATAACAACTTGCTTACAAGAAAAGGACAGCTAAAATGTGAAAAATCATTGTTGATCTGTGTTTAATGTGTTAAGGGATTCATCCATATCTGGCCATATCTGGCAAAAAAAAAAAAGAAAACTAAAAACTTTGAGACTAATTATCTGTCAAAAAGCATTGAATGAAAATTAAAAAAAGAGGTATAAGAAATTTAAGATATTAGATATATGTAATTTATCTAGACAACTTGAACACATAAAAACGCTTAGTAAATTATGGTTAACGGCATGTTTTAAAAGTTCAAAGATTTACCATAAGCATGTATAACTCTTGGGACTACCACGTTTTTTGTTTTCGTAGATCGATTTTTTAGCGAGTTTAATACTTCATTGTAATTAAACTTAACAGATTAAATTAAGTGATTAAAATGGTACCATTTTTTGAACAGGAAAACTTATTTAAAGACGCGATTTCATATTTTTTTAACTATAATTGGTGAACTTATTTAATTTATAGCTCCAAAAAAAAACAATTATTTAAAATCAAAACACGTAGTTTCTTAAACACACTGGCGCTTAGGCATTTTAAAGTATGCAAAAACTTTAAAACAGATTTTTGTTAAACAAAAATCCAAATAATTTCGTTATCAAAAATTGACGTTATTTTGGCTATGAAAACGACGTACATTTGATTTATTGGCTCTACGTAAGCTTATTAACTCAATTGCTAGTTGTGAAAAAAGCTCATTGTGCGGTTTACTTTCCAACACACTTTTACGCCTGCATCTTTTGAACAATTTATCAATATTATTTCAATATCTATATTTCGTTTTAGCTCAATTTTTCACCATCATCTGTAGCGTATAAAATAACATTAATTGTTTATGTGTAAGTATGTTTTTTTCTGTACGTATGTATGTATATGTATAAATGCAAAGAACATAACAGCGCAATGCGGTCAGCTAAGCAGCTCATTCTTAGTACATGGATGTACGTCCCTACACCACATAACTCTTCACATGGCATTGTCTAATAATTAAATTCCTTTATTTAAAACTAATAATATGTAATAGTGCTTGCTTTTACTTTGTTGATTTTTTGCATTTAATGTTCGCAGTCCTGTGAATTTTTTTGCATTGATTTCCACTCACTTTTCATATACTCTATATTTACGTTTTTTGTTTTCTTTCGCTTTGCTCATCGATCATCAAACATTGCACAGATTTCAGACTAAACTAAAATTTAGTTTTCTTGATAATGTTTCACTTTTATATTTATTCACTATTTATTGTTTATAGTAAGTATTTGTAAGTTTGCTTTATGTTTCTTTTTTTAATATCTTTTTGTATCATTTTTACTTCTTTTATGTACTGTAACATAATTTTAGAATGTTTCATGTTGCTGCTGTTTGTTAATTACTATTTTTTTTCGCTCAATAATCCAAGTCGCGTGCGCACTCGCTCGCAGAGGCTGCATTTTCTTCCGAAACTCATTGTTTACTAACTTTTTTGTTCGCAGAATCGGCAATCATTTCACCTCATCTCACTTCGGCCTTCTAATGCTATTCTAAGCAGCTTGCTTGCGGGCCATGCATCTGGTGTGCATATATATATATATATATATAAATCAATGCAATTCATACTCGGTATTCTTGCTTGGCTGTCCGGTTTTCGTTTCTGGTGTATGTAGTTTTTTGATGTTTTAGTTTAAATGTTTTTTAACAATTTTTTGTTGTATTTTTGGAAGGCATTACATCTTAACTGCATTTCACTTTCACGCTTAAACAAACTTCAGTTATGCGACATTAAATGTCCTGCAAAGGAAATTTTGAAAACCAAAATATTTTTATAATCATCGAATTTTTCTGTTGAGCGCTTAGAACTCACCTGCGCTCCATTTGAGTGTTGTAACCTAGAAATTTCTTCTTCTTTTGATAGTAAAATGCTTTGCCATTTCTCATGTTCCTGGCGGGCGTGCCCTTCGAGAGCTGACAATGTGTTACTCTGCAGGTGAAGAACATAAAAAGTGATAATCAATACAAGAAAGAATATGTAAAACATTTTAAATTATTTTCAAGAGTTTCGTAAAAAAATTTACTAGCAGGTGCGTGTCGGACCACTAAAAAAGCTTTCCTTCGATTTGGTTTTTTTGTTTCTTTTTTATAACATCTTTTAAACAAATTATTCCTAGTAAATTAAAATATTAAATCAGTAAATTTGCATGCACATTTTTTTTTAATGTAATTCTTATTCTATGTTGACTTACGGTTTTTGTAACCAGCTTGGTTAACTCATCCACCTTGGCGCGGAGTTGAGTATTCTGCAGACGTAGTTCAACGGCATCAATATCGTTGCCGCTGCCACCACTACCACTATTTTCGCCATCCCCAGTACTATTGTTACTAATACGATTATTGCTATTATTTGTTAAGTTATCATTATGGGAATTATTGTTGGTGTGGGTTGAAGGGGTGTGATTACTGCTACTGCTATTGCTGCTACTCGATTGTGTAGATTTGTTACTACTGCTGCTAGCCGCTTTACTAGCTGTTGTCAATTTCAGTTGTGTGGCCAAAACTTGTTCTACCCACTGTTCAAAGGATGCACTGAGTGCTGTGCTGGCACAAGCTTTAGCAGCATCTGGATAAAGGCGCTGGAATATTTCACGTATATGTTTCTCTTCAAAAGCAGAAACTGTTGTTGCGGCATTGGCTGTGGCGGAGGAGGATTGTTGTTTCTGTGAAGCGGCGAAAAGTTGCTGCTGTTGCTGAAAGCCAAAAAAAATTCACGTAAATTTTTTGTGCAAAGGAATTTAAAATAACATTAGGTGCGGACGAGACAGATTTAATAATTGAAACATGCACTTACAACTAGGCTTTCATTTGCGCTCTTAGGCGCTTTATTCTGTCTAGCTGTTGTTTCAGCACTTTGCAAAGCTTCAACCAACTTCCAGTTTTTCTTACGCAAATCCTAAAGCGAAATATGAAAAACATATTAGTAGGAGAATAAAAGCAGAAATGAAAACGAAAACTTATAAAGTTTTATTTTGAACTTTTGCATACTAAAAATGAAACAAAATGTTAAAGTTGTATGCATAAAAAACTGGAAGTTTTATAATTATCCGATTGAACTAGTTTTCAACTTATAAAACATTGATTTCATGTATATTTTCAATGCATTAAATTTATTTTTTACGAAAGCTTATGTCTATATTAAAAAAATAAAATATAATCATTACCAAGAACTCAGCAGGTTAAAATAGAAAAATGTTCTATTGTTAAAAAGTCGATCTTTTTTGGTAAGATTCCCTTTAGTGCGAAACATAGAGAAGTCGAAAATATTTCATTCAAGTTATTTACAGTTCTGTAAAAGATACTTCCAAGCTTTTTAAATGAGTAATGAATTCTTTCGTTGAGGGCTTTCGACAAAACTATTCTATGCAAGATTCCCTGCTGCTAGCCTTACAGTATTCAAAGTTAATTAGCCACCACACAAAAAAAATTTCGGATTTTTCGCCCGAAACAAATTCACCCGAAATTTTTGCATCCGCCCATCGCGAAAATGAAGCTCATAATAAGGCTGATTGATTGAAAAAACCAACCATATTCTGCATATTTTTTGATATTTTGGGACTATTTTTTCATCAAGATCCGATGTATGTCTTTCTTTCTAAAATTGTTTAATTAGCGTTTTAAAAAAATGGTGATTTCTTTTTAAAAAAGTAAAAAGCTTGTTCTGCATTTTCTAAAAACTTATAATTTTGCAAAGCGTAAAAATACTACAATTCATTAACAAATAGCACGTATTTCCATTTTCCGATTCAACATAGCATTGTGAGTGTTAAGCAATAAGAAAAATTTCAGATCTTTTTCTATCTTCACGTGCACGTCGAACCACATAGAAATACTGGTAAAAATTCAAAATTTATACAATCAAACAAAAGGAACATAACATCGCTTTCTTCATCTGTCATTATCCGCATTACTTCGATAATAAAATGATAAACATGTAGCTGACTCGATTTTAGTATCACAATTTCAAATACTTTCTAAATTGAAAAACAGCTTAAGTTATCAAAACTAATAGCCAAAATCGGTGAGGCTAATAACTGTTAAGTGGTTCATGTCTGCAATCCTTGTCTAATTCATGTCTAATCCTTACTACTTACTTAAGCAATCTTTGTTACTTACTTAAGTAAGGATTGAACCTAGATTAGACAAGGATTACAAACATAAGCCGCTCTAAGTGGTTTTTATTTTTTTTGAATAGTGTCGTTATTGCAGAGGACCATCATCGATACGTACAAATCGATACTATCAAAGCAAAGCGGTTATCGAGTGGCTAAATAAAAATAATTGTTTTCCAACTCACATCGTTCTTCTCTTTCTGCTCGTGCAGCTGCTGCAGCACCTCCTTTTCTCGGCTGCTCAGCTCTCCACGGTCTGTTCGACATGCTGCAATTGCTGGTGCTTGCTTGCGATATCACGTTGCAGTGAATCAATCAACTTCTGCAAATCGTGATGATGTTGTGCATTAAGTCGCATTTGCACTTCTAAATTTCCGACTTTTGTCGCAACGCACGTATTATTTTTAATCGAATCAGCCAACAAATTTTCCTTTTCGGCCAATTGTAACTGGAGTATACCGAGTGTTGTCTGTAAACCAGATTGTTCTGCTGCTTGGCTATTGATACCAGCCAATTGCTGCAGCAGCTCCTCATTTTTAGCTTGCAGTGCAACTATCTGGTTTTGCTTCTCCACCAATTCAGTACTACGAGCCGCAGACGTGTCGAGCTCTTGGCGAGCTTGGGCCAAATCGGCCTTGGTTGATTCATGCGCATTCTGTAAGTTATGTAATTCCAGCTTACGTTCGGCATTTTCGATTTCGAGTGCTTTTGCCTTTTCGAGTTCGAAAATGCGGTTGTTCGAGACTTGTTCGAGTTCTTCGCGCTGCTGCTCGAGAAGACTTACTTGTTGTTTGAGCTCTTCATTCGCCTGGTTACAGGCGTTCACCAAACAGGTCAAATCATTGATACACTTATCCTTGTGCGCCAACTCGCTTTGTATACGTTGTAGTTGTGCGAATAGGTCTTGAGAACCATTTTGCTTCTCAAGTAAAAGCTTGGCTTGGAATTGTTTGCGCTCTTGTGCAAATTTATCGTTGAGAACTTGTATTTCCTGATTGAGTGCGGTAATCTCCTGCTCCTTGGACTGCAATTTCTCAACATATACTTTCACAGTGGCATTTAACTGAGCGCGCTCGGTATTGATTTCAGTGCGCAATTCACGCAGTTTAGCCTGAATTCCCATAGAAGCTTCCTGCTCCTCAGTCAAAGCTTTCTCTTTCTCTTCCAATTGACGTTTCAATTTCTGACATATATCGTCCGACCATTCCGAATGTGTTGCTGGTGTGTCCTGCTGCTTGTTCAGCAAATAATCGATAAGTATCTGGATCTCGGATCGATTGAGTTCAGAACGACGGAAGAGATTCATGAGCAACGAAACGCCAATCGTATCAGAGTCGGAAAGCTTATCCAGTGCAAGTACCAGCTCTTTAGTGGCGGCGGTTTCTTTGTTCTGCTTTTTATTTTGTTGCTTGACGGTTTTATTGTTGCCACTGGCACTGTTAGAGACATGTGTTTTCGGCGAGCCGTGACGAGTTTTGTCATCCTGCTGTTTTAGCTCCTTGGCTACATGCGTGTGCGTTACAGATTCGGCGACCGGCTGCTGTTGTTGCTCAACAACTACTACCGGAGCTTGCTTTTCAACTGGCACATTTTTTTCTTTTTTAATGTTCTTTTCCTTCTTATTATCCTTCTTCTCGTGTTTTTTCAACTCGAGTATATCCTTGGGTTGCTTTATCTCGAATGTGTTTGCGGGCTCCTCAATCACCAAGTTCTCACGCACTACTACCGGTTCATTCTTGTTCACCAAAATGCCCGACGATTTGCTCTTCTTCTCCTTCTTCGATTTCTGCTTCGACAAGTTCTCCTTTTCAGCGATGCTGGCACGTCTTACAGCTTCGGGCGTAGCGCCAACAATCACCTCTGGGTCTGGGTCAAATTCGACATGAGTTTTAGATAAGCCCTGAGGCTCATCCTCCACCGATGGCTGTTCGGATTGTGCATCGGAGTCCTCTTGCTCGGTATTTTCCTTTTGTTGTTCGCGTTGTAACTTTTTCTTTTCACGTTTAAGATCCTTTTTAGTGGGTTGCTGTTTTTTAGGCTTCTTTACGCCTACTTTACTCTGAGCGTAAATTTTATCGGTTAGTGCCTTTTTTTCGGCAACAACCTCCTCGAATGTTTTGCGACGGAAAAATTTATTAATGAAAAGCAGCGAGAGAAGGGAGGCGAGAAATACGCAGCTGATAATAACCAATAAGTGGAAGTCCATCATTGCATAATTTTAACGAATAATCCTGTGCAAAATATGAGAAGAGAAAAACGGTAAATTAATATATGTAGATATTCCGACTTTTATATTGGATAAGTATGGTCTTTTATAACTATATGAAGTTTTAGCAGGTTTCAAAGGTCTAACAGACGTTGTTGACGTTGCAAAACAAACTGAATATTTTTTCAGCAGCCGTGCTGGCGGATAAGATAAAGGCTAGGAATATACACACATATACATACATATCTACATATGTAGTACATATCAGTGGATGCCTTCTTTCAGTACAAATGGGGAATAAATAATTTATGAGCGTGAATAAAAAATTATTGAGAATTTCGTGTTCATGTGTACTTAAATATGCATGTATACATATATACATGTATACAGATATGTATAACAGATAATAGCACCGTTGCGCATGCACTTTGTAATCTATATATTTATGTATTCGTATTGTTTATCAATACGTTTAGGAACTTCGGAGCCGACAAAATCTGGAAGGAATTTGGCATTTTAATGTATTTTCTTTTTGGTATTAATTTGAATTAAGCATGGATTTTTTGAATTAGCATAGAGCTTAACTACGCCAATCAGCACCATACATATACATAATTTAAATAACAGTACATCAAGGTCGAATGTGAAATCCATACCATATTTCTGTAAATCTTACAAAATATATTTTTGATTTCAGAGTCCATTTTTGACTATAACCACCATATAAATTCTTCTTTGAGGAGGTATATCTTAGCCAATCAGTTCTCTATCGGAGTTGTAATGTTCTTTCGATTTAAATAGTCCGTTAACTGATTCGAACGGAAAACAGAAAAGGACGGTTTCAATATTCTAAGTAATGTTTTCATTTAGCAAATTGGCTAGGGGCAGAATAATCTTGAGAAATGTAAGTCTAAAAAATGCACCGAAAAAAGATCGAATCTTTCTGATTCTTATGGAGTTTTACTTTGCTTTTAAACAGGCAAAATGTTGTATTCACAGTTTAGCAAAACAGACAACATATGTATTAATTTTTAATTTGGGAATATAACGACTGCTGAGTTGAATATCGATCTATCCCGGCAGCCAGTTCGAAAACGCCAAATCTCAAAAAAATTTTCAAGAACGCCCTATTTCAGAATAGGTTCACAAATGACCCATCCCAGCTGGCGATGAAGCCTATAAGCAAATTCAGCTCTCTAATAGGCATTTTTGAATCGAATTCTGAGATAGGGGTTTTCCAATAAAATTCTAAAATAGCGCGTTTTAGAAAAGTTTTTTGAAATAGGGCGTTTTTGAACTGGCTGTCGAGATAATCGTCCATACTAATCAAATTCAAATTCAACCTTTTTCTCGAGTTTTTTTTTTTTTTGAGTTATGACACTATGGAAGTAAATGAGCAATATGTATGAACACACATGCACATGTGCAAAATTATTTAATCGAAAAATATTTTTGTCATTTGCAAATATTTTCTTTAAAAACAAATATACAATTCGAAGAAGACCTTATCAAGCGTATGCACATGCAATAGCAGCGAGGAATCTTATCAATAATATGTATTTATGTATGTATGTACTAAATTCATAAATAAAGCAAGACGACAAAGTAGTCGATGATGCTCGACTCGGCAACAAAGTAAATCTTTTAAGTAAAATCAATAATATACTGGCGAAAATAGCACTTTTTCATTGATACCAATGTAGCTATGTATTTATGTACATATTTACATATGCACAAATGCAAACATACTTATGCACATTAGGGCTGTGCGATTAATTTATTATTCAAAATTTTAAATAATNCAACATTTCAAAGTACTCTTTACATATAAAGTAGTTGAAGTTCCTTGATACTTTGAAAATAACGTTTCCGTTTTCAAAAATTAAAATTAAATATTTTTTATCATATACAGATTGTAAAAGAAAAAATAAGCATTTTCCAAAGCAAACTTTTTTAACGAGCAAAATTAAGTTTTTTGAGTAATCATATTTTAAGTCAAAATCTTGATTACTCGAGTAATTGATTAACCAACTTGCTCGAATAATCGCACAGCCCTAATGCACATATGTACATACAGATGTATGTTCTTCGTACATAAAAAATACATATTTATTTCAATGTACTTTGTATAAAAAAAAACACTTCATATTTTGCACTTAGTCTATTACATATCGCACACCGTTTGCAAAAGAGACACAACTAAAAATTTTGCATTTTTGAAATTATCCGCTAAAAATGTAGGCAGAGCTCTTATTTACCTTTTAGCAAAAGCTGGAGCAAGTTTTTGTTATAATTTATAAAAAAAAACTCATTTCTCGCATTTTCTCACAAACGTGTAATTTTGAGTTGTGCCCTTTTTTGAAAAAGGTGTGCGATAAGTACTTTATGATGGTATGTATTTAGATGACGTGTACTTTGCAATGACAAGAGTGAAAATGTGTACAAAGTCAACAGCAACGAAGATAATCACGAAGGTAAACAAATATGTATGTACCCTAAAAGAAATCAGGAAGATCAATGACATTGGTTAATTTTGTTGTTTTTAAAGAAATAAATTCGACTTTTAATTACACACTTACATATATCCAGCTAGCGAAAGCAGTAATATTGAAATATCAATAGGCTTTCTCAATAAAATTAAACACCAATGGTTTTAGTCGACTTTCCTCGACGGTGACTTTCTGTACAATGACGCTTGCTTTTATTTCAAAATGGATCCTCATGATACAAAGTTATCGATAAATGCATAATAGCTTAAGGTCTAGTTACACGATGCTTAAGGTCTAGTTACTTGATATGGTATAACGCAGTATATTACAAGGTATTTACAATATAATTACATGTGTGCACGTCCTACAATATGTAATATGTTTACTAGTTTTTACTTCTAGAAATGTTCCTGGCGAACATTGAACGTTCACTTTCCTTTTTTCTTCTATGGAGGCAACATCAATTTCGGTTTGTTTACAAATAAAACATAAACAAAGTCAGCTGGTCTGTCTTCTTCTTCCGGTTTTTGCAAGTAATAGCTAATTTCCTGTTCGTTTACTCTTTTGCTTTTTCATCTCTTTGGGAGAGAATTTTCGCTTACTCTCTTGATTTTGATTGTTGGCTGGTGTTGGCTAATTTTGTTATCGAACGCAACTATTTTCTTAAGTTAATCTTATCCACTGTGTCAAGTTTGCTCTCTACGACAGTAAAAATATAATTAATGGCAACAAATACCAATTCTATATACACTCATGAGCAAACTAAAAGGTGCGAAATGCAAAATAATATTGTTTGCAGTTTATTTTTTTTTTATCTTCTATGGCGCACGATAGAATAAAAAAAAAAATTATTATAGGTATTCGCGTTATCGGGGAAATTAATAATTAAATTTAAAAAAATTAGAACACGAACATCCATGGACCCGATGATCAATAAAAAATTACTGCATAATAAACGAAAAATTATTCGCGATTCGAAATTACTTGAATGAAGAAGAAAAATGGATTCTTCGTTCGAAATTATTTGAATGGTGAATGAAAATTTATTCGCCATTCGAAATTACTTGAATGATGGATCAAAAATTTATTCGTCATTTAATTGATGTATGAAAACTTATCCGTCATTCAAAGAACTGTTTACTTTTTAATTGAATAAGAAGAAGGTTGTGCACGAAAAAATATTATCAGGATACTTTTTAACGAAAATAACTATGCAATAATATAGTATGTTTGTATGCATGTAGTGTGTATGGATATGCATATCTTTGAAAACATTTCCAATTAAATGGTAGAAAAAAAAGAAACATTTCTTTTGAGTAAGCAGTAAATAATAGTACATATTTGTTGCTTAAAATGAATGAGTTACGCTAGTAATATTTGAAAATGTTTTTTTCTTATCTGCATCCTAATAAAACTTGCTAACTCTTTAATGGCATCTCGTTATCTTTAGGTAACATAAATTCCTAGAAAATGTACACGACGTTACGAGAAAAAAATTAGTTACTATGATTACCATGATCTAAGGGGGCGGTAATATAATGTTAGCTGAAAATTAAATAAGAGATATATTGTCATATTATTTACTCTTGGTTCCTATTATTTCATAACACATACATACATACAATGATGGAAAAAATAATAGAAACAACTTACCTGTACAAATATTACTAAATTAAAGTTATATTGTAAGTTACTGAAACATAAAAAAGGATAAATGGGCTGAGCTAAACACTGCACGGAAGAGGAGAAGAATTTAATATTAAGTTTAAGAAAACAGGGAAATTCGATGAGTAAGATAGCAGATATGGTGGGCTGATCCAAAAAGAAGGTGTTTACTGCCCTTCATAGCGTAAAAAAAACAGAAACACGACGTAGAAAACGAAAAATGACTTCTAACGATCAAAGGCGTTTAATTTGACATTGCAAAGCTAACCCAAACAAACCGAACCATTAGGTATAGATTGGCAGAAGCCAAACTTCCAGCCAGAATACCTAGAAAGGTACCGTTGCTGAACCGTAAAAACAAAAACAACCGACTTGCTTGAGGAAATGCCACTGCGGTGGCAGTTACTGCAGGATAATGATCCTAAATATGCATCGAAACTGGTAAAGTAGGGGGTTAAGGAGGAAAACGTGCAGGTTATGGAGTGGCCGTCCCAATCGCCAGACCCCAACCCCATTGAGCACCTTAGGGCAGACCTAACGAACAGGATCGGGCCTTTTAAAGCCAGCAATAAAGACGAATTGTGACGCCACAGTCTTAAAATCATGGTATTCCATTCCGAAAAGTGTTTGTGCAAACTTGGTTAATTCGATGCACCAAATATGCGAAGAGGTAATCAGGCAAGGCGGCGGTTCAATGAGCTATTGAAACAATAATATTTTTGTAAGAATTTTTNTGCAAAAGAAATCTAGATTTTAATTAACATAAACAAAATTTACGAAATCGGAATGTATTTAAAACGAAAGAGTTCTTCAAACAATAAAAAATTAAATGAAAGCTGTATGCTTCTATTATTTTTTTCAACACTGTATATCGCTAGTTTAGAGTGACAAGTTGCTAAGTCCCAATTTAAA